TAATAAGTATATAGGTTGTATGTTGGGAGCTTTTGGGAAAGAGTACAGTTAGAAAGATATGGCATATAGAAGCAAACCGGATGGACATCATGAAAATGATCGGAGAGGTTGAGAGTAGAAGAAGTTCAGGAGAAAAAAACAAATAAAAATATAATTATTGTAAAATTGACTGTGTCCATAAAATGTAGATAGTAAGTATAAACTGGAAGTAGAGGCCTAAGCATTGTTGTTCACTAATTTACCCCAAGTAGGGAAAGGGTGGCGGGGTTGGAAAGTAATAAAGGGGAATATATATATAAAAAACATGGGGGATTGGAAGTGATGTAGACAATTACATTGATGGAAGTTACAATCTATCTGCAATATTAAGCTGATCTACCCCCCAAAAATAAAATAAAAATAAAATAAAAAATACTAACATATAACAATGGACAATTCTCAAGGTAAAAACATCGTAGTATGTCTAATTAAACAGTATAGTATATCATTCAATCATTTCCTCCACACAGCATTTACAGTTGACCGGGGCAGCTCTGGCAGGGCTGAAATTTGATGAACTGACTTGCAGGAAAGGTGGCATCCTATGACGGTGCCACGTTGAAAGTCACTGAGCTCTTCAGTAGTCTATCACAGTGCCATCCATTTTGTCACCAAAGCCCCATAGACTACCCACCACTGTGACCTGTACGCTCTTGTTGGCTGGTCCTCACAACATATTCGTCGCCAAACCCATTGGCTCCAGGCCATCTATAAATCACTGCTAGGCAAATCCCCGCCTTTTCTTAGCTCATTGGTCACCATAGCAACACCCACCCGTAGTATGCGCTCCAGCAGGTATATCTCACTGGTCATCCCCAAAGCCAACACCTCCTTTGGCCGCCATTCCTTCCAGTTCTCTGCTGCCAATGACTGGAACGAATTGCAAAAATCTCTGAAACTGGAGACTCTTATCTCCCTCACTAACTTTAAGCATCAGTTGTCAGAGCAGCTTACCGATCACTGCACCTGTACACAGCCCATCTGAAATTAGCCCACCCAACTACCTCATCCCCATATTGTTATTTTGCTCATTTGCACCCCAGTATCTCTATTTGCACATAATCTCTTGCACATCTATCATTCCAGTGTTAATACTAATTGTAATTATTTTGCACTATAGCCTATTTATTGCCTTACCTCCATAACTTGCTACATTTGCACTCACTGTATATATATTTTCTGTTGTATTTTCGACTTTTATGTTTTGTTTTACCCCATATGTAACTCTGTGTTGTTGTTTTTATCACACTGCTTTGCTTTATCTTGGCCAGGTCGCAGTTGTAAATGAGAACTTGTTCTCAACTGGCTTACCATTCTTCTGCCAATGTTTGTCTATGGAGATTGCATGGCTGTGTGCTCGATTTTATACACCTGTCAGCAATGGGTGTGGCTGAAATAGCCGAATCCACTAATTTGAAGGGGTGTCCACAGACTTTTGTGTATATGGTGTATCAAGTTATGCTCCAATAGACGTTGACCTAGGGGATAAATACATTCTAATCTAATAGTTTAGTCTACTCTTTAACATCATGAAAGTATTTTACTCATTCAGTTGATACTCTACACTTTCATTTTTACAAGATTCTCATCTAGCAACTCAATATTAGGAAGGTGTTCTTAATGTTTGGTATACCAAGTGTATTACAGTTGGCAAATTCTAAGGTTCCGAACAGGCATGTGAGACTGTATCTCCTCTTATGTTGTATTATGTTATGTTATGTTTTAGATATACAGTGGGGGAAAAAAGTATTTAGTCAGCCACCAATTGTGCAAGTTCTCCCACTTAAAAAGATGAGACAGGCCTGTAATATTCATCATAGGTACACGTCAACTATGACAGACAAATTGAGAAAATATTTTCCAGAAAACCACATTGTAGGATTTTTTATGAATTTATTTGCATATTATGGTGGAAAATAAGTATTTGGTCACCTACAAACAAGCAAGATTTCTGGCTTTCACAGACCTGTAACTTCTTCTTTAAGAGGCTCCTCTGTCCTCCACTCGTTACCTGTATTAATGGCACCTGTTTGAACTTGTTATCAGTATAAAAGACACCTGTCCACAACCTCAAACAGTCACACTCCAAACTCCACTATGGCCAAGACCAAAGAGCTGTCAAAGGACACCAGAAACAAAATTGTAGACCTGCACCAGGCTGGGAAGACTGAATCTGCAATAGGTAAGCAGCTTGGTTTGAAGAAATCAACTGTGGGAGCAATTATTAGGAAATGGAAGACATACAAGACCACTGATAATCTCCCTCGATCTGGGGCTCCACGCAAGATCTCACCCTGTGGGGTCAAAATGATCACAAGAACGGTGAGCAAAAATCCCAGAACCACACGGGGGGACCTAGTGAATGACCTGCAGAGAGCTGGGACCAAAGTAACAAAGCCTACCATCAGTAACACATTACGCCGCCAGGGACTCAAATCCTGCAGTGCCAGACATGTCCCCCTGCTTAAGCCAGTACATGTCCAGGCCCGTCTGAAGTTTGCTAGAGTGCATTTGGATGATCCAGAAGAGGATTGGGAGAATGTCATATGGTCAGATGAAACCAAAATATAACTTTTTGGTAAAAACTCAACTCGTCGTGTTTGGAGGACAAAGAATGCTGAGTTGCATCCAAAGAACACCATACCTACTGTGAAGCATGGGGGTGGAAACATCATGCTTTGGTGCTGTTTTTCTGCAAAGGGACCAGGACGACTGATCCGTGTAAAGGAAAGAATGAATGGGGCCATGTATCGTGAGATTTTGAGTGAAAACCTCCTTCCATCAGCAAGGGCATTGAAGATGAAACGTGGCTGGGTCTTTCAGCATGACAATGATCCCAAACACACCGCCCGGGAAACGAAGGAGTGGCTTCGTAAGAAGCATTTCAAGGTCCTGTAGGGGTGCCTAGCCAGTCTCCAGATCTCAACCCCATAGAACATCTTTGGAGGGAGTTGAAAGTCCGTGTTGCCCAGCGACAGCCCCAAAACATCACTGCTCCAAAGGAGATATGCATGGAAGAATGTGCCAAAATACCAGCAACAGTGTGTGAAAACCTTGACCTGGTCAAAACGTTTGACCGGTGTCATTGCCAACAAAGGGTATATAACAAAGTATTGAGAAACTTTTGTTATTGACCAAATACTTATTTTCCACCATAATTTGCAAATAAATTCATAAAAAATCCTACAATGTGATTTTCTGGATTTTCTTTTCTCATTTTGTCTGTCATAGTTGACTTGTACCTATGATGAAAATTACAGGCCTCTCTCATCTTTTTAAGTGGGAGAACTTGCACAATTGGTGGCTGACTAAATACTTTTTTCCCCACTGTACATAACTTTAGTTCAAAATACAGATACATTCCTGTTAATGTTTATTTGCATTCTCTTTTATTTCAGGGGGAGAAAGAAATGTCATATGAAGATGGACCGAGGTGGGACAACATTACTGCAGTTTTCAGTTTTGAAATGATGAAGGCCTCCATTTTCCACTTGTTATTGCACCCTTGCAGTACTACTCTGCACTACACTGTACCACCGTACTATAATCGTAATTTTCTGAATTTTATGGTGATGGGGATTATTTATACAGTGGTGATTATTTATGCAGTGGTGATTATTTATGCAGTGGTGATTATTTATGCAGTGGTGATTATTTATACAGTGGTGACTATTTATACAGTAGTGATTATTTATGCAGTGGTGATTATTTATGCAGTGGTGACTATTTATACAGTGGTGATTATTTATGCAGTGGTGACTATTTATACAGTGGTGATTATTTATGCAGTGGTGACTATTTATGCAGTGGTGACTATTTATACAGTAGTGATTATTTATGCAGTGGTGATTATTTATGCAGTGGTGACTATTTATACAGTGGTGGTTATTTATGCAGTGGTGATTATTTATGCAGTGGTGATTATTTATACAGTGGTGATTATTTATATAGTGGTGATTATTTATACAGTGGTGATTATTTATACAGTGGTGATTATTTATACAGTGGTGATTATTTATACAGTGGTGATTATTTATACAGTGGTGATTATTTATGCAGTGGTGATTATTTATACAGTGGTGATTATTTATGCAGTGGTGATTATTTATGCAGTGGTGATTATTTATACAGTGGTGATTATTTATGCAGTGGTGATTATTTATGCAGTGGTGATTATTTATACAGTGGTGATTATTTATGCAGTGGTGATTATTTATACAGTGGTGATTATTTATGCAGTGGTGATTATTTATACAGTGGTGATTATTTATACAGTGGTGATTATTAATGCAGTGGTGATTATTTATTCAGTGGTGATTATTTATGCAGTGGTGATTATTTATGCAGTGGTGATTATTTATGCAGTGGTGATTATTTATGCAGTGGTGATTATTTATACAGTGGTGATTATTATACAGTGGTGATTATTTATGCAGTGGTGATTATTTATACAGTGGTGATTATTTATGCAGTGGTGATTATTTATGCAGTGGTGATTATTTATACAGTGGTGATTATTTATGCAGTGGTGATTATTTATGCAGTGGTGATTATTTATACAGTGGTGATTATTTATGCAGTGGTGATTATTTATACAGTGGTGATTATTTATGCAGTGGTGATTATTTATACAGTGGTGACTATTTATACAGTGGTGATTATTTATGCAGTGGTGATTATTTATGCAGTGGTGATTATTTATGCAGTGGTGATTATTTAAGCAGTGGTGATTATTTATACAGTGGTGATTATTTATACAGTAAATAGTGTGACATTTTCTTACACTTGGTGCAGTATAATTTTTTTGGGGGGGATACATTTTCTTGTTCCATGTACGCCTAATGATAGTTAGTTACTAACTAGAAAAACTGTGTAAAATGATCAATTTAGCCATGCATAAGTCTATCAACAAATTAACCATTCATAATTGCATTGTTTTGTACTCCTGACATACCCCCAGCATGTTCCAAGACCAGCTGGCGGAGAAGGTCCGGCCTTTCATATACTTAATAGATGAATTGAGATCCATAGGGATAGATAAGGAGATGCCACTGCCAACCATTGCTGTGGTGGGAGACCAGAGTTCAGGAAAGAGCTCTGTGCTTGAGACCCTTTCTGGGGTGGCGCTGCCCAGAGGGACTGGTGAGATTCTGTATTGTTTCCTGAATATACAAAAAAACAATTGAAATCTATATTAGCATTTTAAATGTCATGCCCAAATCACCCAAAGTCTCTGAAAGTGGTTGTTTAACTTAGACTTAATTTGGGCATTGACTAGTTTTTGGTTTGAAAATGCTGAAGTTGGCGATTTAGGACACTGGCAAGGTAAACAACCCTGAAGCAGGTTTTCACACTATCCTTGTCCATAGACAAGGTCAGGAAATATATACAGTACAATAGGACCACAGAGACAAGGACATTGCTGAAATGTTTAGAATATTCAAATTAACTTGATAACCGCAGCAAACCTGTTAAATGCGTATTTACTGTACATGAGTTTTCTAACCATTTAGTGACACTGTAAATGTCTGACATGCTTTTAGATCATTGATTGTTCTGTTATACAGTTTAATGATCTGTCATTGGTACTTCCTTGTTTACAGGTATTGTCACCAGGTGCCCACTGCTACTTAAACTGTGTAATGACAGGTCAGTGAAATGGGAGGCTGTCATCTCATACGGAGGCAAATGCAGATTTGAATTTGACGAACCCTCAGAAGTCATGAGACACGTTGAACAAGGTCAGATGGGAACGAACATACACACACACACGCACACACACGCAGACACGCACACACATTATTTTATACTGTATATTAACCAGTGGAGGCTCCTCAGAGGAGGAATGGGAGGACCATTCTCCTCAGTGAAATTCAGAAAAATGTAAATAGTGAAACATTTAAAAAAGTTATATTTTTTAAATAAAACTGTACTAAATATCACCAAATAATTGATTAAAACCCACTGTTTTGCAATGAAGGTCTACATTAGCCTCAACAGCCTTCTGTAGGGTAGCACCATGGTGTAGCCGGAGGACATTTAGTTTCCGTCCTCCTCTGGGTACATTGACTTCAATACAAAACCTAGGGGGCTCATGGTTCTCATCCCCTTCCATAGACTTACACAGCAATTATGACAACTTCTGGAGGATGTCCTCCAACCTGTCAGAGCTCTTGCAACATGAAATGACATGTTGTCCACCCAATTAAAGGATCAGAGAATTAATCTAGAACTGAAAGCATAAGCTACAGCTAGCTAGCACTGCAATACATAAAATGTGATGAGTATTTGACTCAAAGAGAGAAAAACAATAGTTGAACAGTTTTCAACAAATTAATGTCTTCAAAAATTAAGGAGAAGCAGGAGAGAGAGAGAGCTATCTATATTTCATTTTTACTTACTTAGCTAGCGAATGCAGCTAGCTAGTTTAGCCTAGTCAAACACAATGCTCAAACAGAGAGGGATGCTATGTTAGCTAGCTGGCTATGGCAATCCAACACAGGCACTCTTCCAAGTCAAGGTAAGCTTTTGTGTTTTATTAGTTTTTAGCCACTGTCTCTGAAACACTGCCTGTGTCACTGCTAAACTGCTTGCTGCTGACTGAAAACTGTACTGCATCATTGTAGCAGCTGATGTGTTGTGCCCCTAAGTCTACAAGCGAAGGGAAAAGGTGAGAGGAGGAGAGTGCGTATATGGGAGAAGGAATTAGCTATAGAATGATCAAAGGAATCATGCTGTTTGTATTTTGCTGCTATGAAAGTGAACTGTGATTGCGTGTGATCAGGGGTGTATTCATTCCACCAATTATGTTGAAAAAATGTTTCTTAAACGGAAGCAAACGGATTGAAAAAGGGACAAACATACCTGAATTTGTCCAATAGAAACTCTCGTTTGCAACAGTTGGACTAATGATTACACCCTAGATCAGTTAGATGCAGGCAAGAGTGTGCAAGGCGGTATTGAATGTGTCAATGTCTGTCACCTTGATTACAAAAACGTCTCTCGACTTATGTTGTAAACTTTCATTTGTAGGCTAGGTTGTAGCAACCTCACGATGGGTATAGGGAAACTTAGAGTATGATATAGTAGCCTAAACTTATCGATGTGACATTGAGCTGGGTGAATGGAATACGTATGTCAGTCATCCAATATGCTGTAATAGAAAAAATGTCACCCCTGATTCTAAAAAGAAAATTTCTCCCTTATTTTAAATGGCCCCGACCGCCACTGACATTGACATATCTATTCTTATTTTTGGTGGAAAAGTTGATACGGTATTTACCATAGACAACTACAGAATACGTAATATATTATAATAATAAGAGTTCAGTTGGGGTATAAATCAGACAGACATACAAAATAATAAACACATCTGTTTTTTCATCAATATTGTAATTGATTTAACAGCTCAGAACACGTTAGCTGGAAAGGGAGTGGGGATATGTGAAGACCTGATCACTCTACAGATCACATCCTCCACGGTGTGTGACCTCAGTCTGATTGACCTACCTGGGATCACCAGGGTAGCTGTGAAAGGACAACCAGATGACATTGGAGCCCAAGTAAGTCTAACGTTAAGAGTGTATAGCTTTTGGACTTTTGTCCAGTACATTGCTTGGTTATCTCATGGCTATTGGTTCTCATCTCATGATACACTAATGATGAATTGTTTTAGCCGGGTGTACGGAATTTTTACCATAATTGCTAGAAAGGTAGCTATGATGGTTAAAGCTGGTGAAAGGTACTTTGAATGTGTTGGCTTTGAAGAAGGTTAAGCTTCAGAACCATGAAAAACAGAGTGCCCCACACAGGGCTATATCACGGTAACAAGCGGTCGGCTACCCTCTTGTGGATTAATCAAATAACTCGGTCAAAGGCTTGCATCCTGACTGTCTGTCACATTCGTCTTCCTTTTTTGCTAGATCAACAATCTCATTACAAAATACATCAAGAATAAGAGAACCATTATTTTGGTGGTGGTACCATGTAATGTTGACATAGCAACAACAGAGGCCCTGAAAATGGCACAAGAAGTGGATCCTGAAGGCACAAGAACTCTGGGTAAAGAAATGATATAGATACATGTATTTTTTATAGGGTTTATGTATTAGCAGTTATCATCATGCTTTTCATTTGCCTTCAAGCCATTCTGACAAAGCCAGACCTGATAGACCCGGGAGCAGAGAAGAATGTGTTGGAAATTGTCCACAATGAAATCATCGTTCTCAATATGGGCTATGTCATTGTGAAATGTCGTGGTCAGAAGCAAATTGATGAAAACATGTCCATAACTCGTGCGATTGAGGATGAGTTGGAATTCTTCCAAAATCATGAACACTTCAGGTAAAATGTGTTCTTGCCATGTGTTAAGTGAACTAGCATCTTTGTTTTTGATGGCTTCACATCTGAAAATGTTCAGGGCCACAAACTGTGTGTTTCAGGATTTTATGAAAAAATTATATTTTCCCACATATCCACTGAGAGTGGTTCCATATAGTATTGATGAATGGTATTTTCTTATGAGTCCCAGGCCTTTTTATTGCTCACTCACCTCCCTTCTCTTACATTTCTACATATAGTACTTTTTAACATTCAAAATCAAATAGCTAAATGATCCTTGGTGTGATCATCTTTAAACAATTCCACATGTTAACTTAGCTCATGCACATATCTCTAGCTTAAACAGACAGATTTTGATGGGGATTCTTTTATTATGTTAATTAGATTTACATTGGGGCGTGACCATTGTAGGCCAAGGGGTTAACTGACATTTGTATTTGACATTTCTTATACCATTTTCGGGATGAAATACTGTTTTTGTTAAATTTCTCTTCCTTTTAATGTATAGATCCCTCTTGTGTCAGGAGAAGGCAACCACCAAGTGCCTAGCCACTAAGCTCAGCAATGCCCTGGTCAAACAGATCAAGGTTAGTCCAACCACATACCCTATGATTATCTGTTTCCAGTGCACACTGGAAAACATGTGGTCTGGTACCAATTAACTTGTTGTATGTTTGCTCCTGGTCAGAAATACCTGCCCCAGATCTCAGAGAAGATCAAGGAGCAGCTGGCGGATGTAAAGATTGCATTGAGTAAAATAGAGTGTGGGCCTCCTCTGGAACCTGAAGAGAAGAGAAAGTACCTCATTCAGGTGAGTCAATCTTTCACCTTTCCATCTTTCAGCATCGTTAACGGCTTCTTTTCTACAAAATTGCCACACAAATGTATGATGTAAGGTTGGAAGCCACACTGTTGCACAGTAGTCCAGGTGTGTTATTGTCATGGTTTGGTAAATTGTCAGGAGAATGTCCTTGGGAGACAAACGTCTGTTTCTATCACTCCTATAGACAGTAAAGGCATCAACTCTGTTGCACATCCTCTGCCAATTGGATTGGTCAGATTTGCAACACAGGTGTAAGAGTAGAAGAATTGTCCAGAAAGACAAATAAAACAGCATCAAAACTTTCTCCACACTCCCACTTCCTCCACTCTCCTTCCTTAATTTCCCACTGATTATGTTTGTCACCAGTGTTGTGGAAAATAACCACTATACTTTATTACAAATCAGTCTTCCAGAGTGTTTGTGGGATCAAGAATGACTTTATTATATTGTCAACAAAGTCAGGCCAATCTGCAGATTCGCCTCGTCTCTCCCTCTCCCTCCTACCTATATAGTTTCCCTTCTTCCACCCTAGGTTCAAATCCCTCCCTCCTTAGTTTCCCGCTCTTTATCACTCCACGCCCACTTCCTTTGTCCCTGAGGACGGCTGAACTATTACTCCAGCCAATCACTCGCTCCCCTGTCTTGCACACACACTCATGTTTAGTTTAAACATGACAAGGCCCTAAATTCTTGACACACACCTCACCCCATCATGCTATAATCCTGAGTGGCGCAGTGGTCTAAGGCACTGCATCGCAGTGCTAACTGTGCCACTAGAGATCCTGGTTCGAATCCAGGCTCTGTCGCAGCCGGCCGCGACCGGGAGACTCATGGGCGGCGCACAATTGGCCCAGCGTCGTCCAGGCTAGGGGAGGGAATGGCCGGCAGGGATGTAGCTCAGTTGATAGAGCATGGCGTTTGCAACGCCAGGGTTGTGGGTTCGATTCCCACGGGGGGCCAGTATAAAAAAAAAAAAAAAAAAAAAATATGTGTTCACTAACTGTAAGTCGCTCTGGATAAGAGCATCTGCTAAATGACTAAAATGTAAATGTAAGAAGATACCAAGGTCTAGCCCAAACTCCATTCAACTCTGGTGCCGCTCCCTTCACAATGTTTGAAGAGAGAGACAAAAGGAAGCCATGGATTTAAGTAAGAGCAAGCACTTTGACCTTAGGGCAGATTTCTTCTCTACTCCCCCCCACACACAGTGAACTGCCCCAATTAAATTCCTAGCCCAGTAACAAACAATTCTAACTCAATGTTCGTGATTAACCCAGTTCTATCTTCTAATTTATTAAAGAATATACATCATATCCCTCCTAATGGGATTACTAATCCCATAAAGTTTACAAAAGTATATCAATCTTTGCATTCAAGTTTATACTCATAATAAAAATATCACTATTTCTACTCAAAATAATTCCAACATCAGTGTTAGTCTCCTAACACATTAAAACTAACATAGCATGGTTTTAACCATACTACCTAGGACATGTTTAAGAATAGTGTCAACATCTTTAACTCACATATCTTAATTCAGATCAATCAGTCAGCTTACAATTCATTATCACACTCAAATGAATTACCCAAAACAAATGTAGAATTACAATTCTTAGTCAGTCCCCTTGGTTCCATCATTCAAAGTTAAAACTCTCACCTTGGCACATATTGACACTGGCATACTGTATAGTTATATTATCACAATTCTAACATGACCTTCCTCATAACGAGAATTACAACAGATCAGTATCCCAATGCATTCCTAGTCTAAATTACTATAAATTTAGCAGTGTATACCACCTCCACAATTCAACATACTACCTCAACTAACACTCCCTTGCTCTACCGGCACTCAATCTTCTGGCGTCCTCCTTATGTCCTTCAGATAGCTTCATAGTTCATCTTGGATTGCCCATGGCAATGTCACAATTCCAATGTCACAAATGAGCTGCCCCACCTCCACCATCATTCTGTTTTGTCCATTTTGCCAACCAGTATACCCAATACTATGAAGAATGTTGTATTGGCATAGATCTCTCTCTTCCTGCTCACTCCACATGGACTCCTGTCACATTCTTGAGAGAAAAGGCACAAAAGAGAAGGCAATTGATTGCTTTGATTTGATGCTGGATTCAGGTCTCCTGGCAGAGGTGGTGTCAGACAGGAACGTCTTCAACGCCTTTGTTGTTCCTCTTCAGCCGGGTAGAGGGTTTTTGGTTTTTATTGAGGTTTATACCATTCTGGACCGAATTATCTCTGCTATGCATTACGACACCATCCGTAGTAACCTCAGGAAAGGACAGATCATAACAGTTTAGTTGAGTTGAGTTAATTTCCAATCCAAAACATCCCTATTAACATTGTCTACATGACAAATCATTATGTTTCACCACTCATTCTTAATACCAATTTCTAATAGTTGATCCTGCTGCCTGATATATTTTTCTTTGAGGGGTCCCTGTATTCCAAAGACTATCTGTTTAAACACCCCCTAGTTTCACATTCTCCCTTGAATTCTCCCAAATTATATAACCCAATTGTTTTATTGTAACATTCCTATATTTCCTCATAATCTATTTGATATTACTCTGGTGTTTCCCTTTTCCTTGTTCCTATTCTAACAATTGCTTACACTTCTCTCCTCATCCTGGTTGATCATAAAATTGGTTATAGTTAGAATTTCCTAAATATTACAAAAGTTGTGATTGAATCCTAGCACACAGTCCTGGTAACTGTGAAGATTTTGAACTACTGTTAATTCTTTAAACGGAGATGTGGTGCATATTAGACTATTTTCTTTATTTAATTGTAATGTAAGATATTGTACTCATCTATACCAATCATTGTTTAACGGCTCCTTCCATTCCCTTTCTTCTGTATTTGGTATGGCTCTAACATGTACAGGGTTCAGTGCAATTTCCCAAGGAATAACTACTCCAACAACACTTCCCCCTGGAACTCTAACACTAAGTACTACATCAAATTGTTTATCTAAGTTTTGAACTGTTATCCTTATGTCTATGATCCATCTGTCTTTTTCTTTTATTACCCTTAGGTCACCGTTACCCCATGTGATTTCCCCATACTCCTTATGCTGGTTCCTCCCACACCAATAACAATTTAACCCTTGTATTTTAATAGTGATCCCTTTCTGTATTTTAGTTATGGTTCCTGCCTGTGCAGGAATATACATTCTAATCCTGTCTATATCCCTTCTATGTCTTGTTCTTCTGCTCTCTACTATTATCAGTACCCCATTCCCCTTATTCTCAGGGAACTAGTCAAGTGCAGAGAAATCAATGATGGGGATATCTGGTGCGTCTTGGAGGTCTGGAATCTCTCGGTGGTCTGGAATCTCTCGGCGGTCTGGAAGGTCTTGGAGGTCTTGAAAGTATCGGTGGTCTCTTAGTCATCAGTTCCCTCACTCTGGTACACTGGTTTAGATTATACCCGATCGCGTTCCCCTCTATCCGTACCGCCGTTGGTGTAACCGGGACGATGATGTATGGTCACTTTAGCTGTTAACCTTCTTCCGTCACTAGGGTCTTCGGATCAGCCAGACTCCCTCTCAATCTATCGACATCGGTCTGCGAAGAGTGTCCTTCTATCAGCCTACCCATAGGGAAGCTCGGAGTTACTGCTGCAAGGACACACAAGCACAGACACACACAAAAGACAACAATGCTACCCAATGGCTGGGGTTGGAAAACTCCTATAGTGGGAAACATGGATCTACGTATCTGTCTCCGCCACTTTTACCATAATTGAAGTAGCCAACAACACCTGGTACAGGCCCCTCCACATAGGGTCTTTCCAACTCTTTCTTCCGTAGTCTTTTACCATCACATAGTCTCCAGGGCACAGAAAATACTCAGATTCTCCTACTCCATTGGGCAGAGTTCCCTTCACCCATGGGAAAAAAATCTTAAGAACATTGTTAGGTTAGGTGAGACACAGTATGCTACTTATGTCCTCTCATCCGTCAGGAGAAGCCTTGAGATTATGAAGCGCACCTGCTTCCAGCTCGTTGTAGTCCACTCATTTCATAGACAGACCTTCTCTACACCCTGCCTCCTATCACAAAAACAAAAAAGATTTAACCTAACCCATAACACATTATTACTACTGCTCATATCCTTAATATAATTTGCATATATTACCACAAAAACATGAAAACCATTAAAAACCATAAAAAATCATTAAAACACCTGTTAAACCCCTGTAAGCCCAAAAAAACAAAATCGTTAACACCTTCCCCCCTTTGGACATCACGATGTGATGCATGTGTTCAAAAAAACAAAAGAACAACAACATTGCTTGTTAAACCAAAAATAATAACTGAACTTAAAATGACAACCCTTGATGATATCTTAACCCAATTGCATTCGATAACATTATTCAAGGATATCTCTCCTTCAAGACTAACTCTCCCACTTCATATATGTCCTGTTTGGGATGATATATAGGATTAATGCCAAATTATATACTTCTTTACAATTCCTTATTATAATCAACCCCCTAATTCAACATGCCTCCGGATTTACAGTGTGGATGATCAGGCCACACTATAAAGTCAGGACAGATTGCAGAGGTCATTGAACTCATTCAATTAATTGTTCCATCAAATAGTATACTACTCATTACCAACCGTCAAAACATTTCATAAATGTTGTATCCCGAGTGTACAGTATGTCTTTAGTACAGCTCTTTTCAAAATAAATCACACGTATTTACTTATCCCTCAGTAAATAAAAGTCCAAATTACATGTGTTTGCCCCTTTAAGATATTTCACTTCCAACCCGTGAAAAAATCCCAAAACCCATAATACAAATAAAAATCCTATACAGCTAACATTTCATACTAAGTGGTTTGTTTGTGGTTATTTGAACACCATATAGTATAACAATAAACAAAAAAAATGGCCAGGCCTTATTTATAGTCTCACTATTGTTTTGGTTCGTGTTGTTGTGTACACTAAATAAAGTAT